AATCTGCTATGCATCTTCCAAGAAATATCCTCTTGGCACTATCATTGACTTGCCCACTTTACGCGTAGTTTAAATGATAGTAGGATTTTTTTTTTTTTTAGCTTGTGTAAAGGTATCGTTTGAAAGTGTATTAACCCTTTCAAAGTCTGCAAGATTTTTAAAAAAATTTTTTGGGTCATGCAAAAGAGAATAACTTTTTTTTTCTTAAATTTCTTCTTATCTAACTCAATATTCAAATTTAAAATTTTTAACTTAAAATTTAAATTTCTAATCATTTAACCACAATCAAGCATGATTCTTTAACTTTTGTTAATATTACTTAACTATGTATTATTACCTAACAAAAATCTTAATTCCTAAATGGATTTTGTTAAGTTACAAAATAGATGTAAAAGGATGGGATAAAGATTTTGGTAAGTTTTAAATCGAATGGTATCATTTTATGCAGCCAAGCCATATATTTCTTTCTTCTTTTTATTTTTATTTGTCTTAAATTTAGGGGAACAAGAACAGGTCTCCCTCACCAATTCATCATGGAGAATTGGAGATATCGAACTCTGAGGTTGGTTTTGTCCCTTTCAATTTCAAAGCCCACCATGCTTTTATTCTCTGGCATTGATTTATCTTCACATTTGTTTACGTATTCTTTTTAGGACTGTGGTTATTAGATTTATGTATTTTACTAATTACCTTTGCTTATTAATTAGGCACAATGTAAAAATTTATATAGGTATCAGCAAAAAATGAGCATTCAACCTAAATCAATTAATGATAGAAGAAATAAAAAATTTTATTATTAAAAGCAACAAGTTTATATATATATTTATTTATTTATTTAGTTTTGCCAAATAAGTAAAAAAATGTTAATTTTTATACTTAAAAAAGAGAAGAGTGAAATATACTACATTGTTTCAATAAAATTTTATTGAAAAGTATTAAAAACCATACTTTTATAACATGGATTAAGTTATTTTTTGTTTTTAATTGTGATATTTTATTTAAATGATATTTTTTTAGTGTGATTTTTATCCTAATTTTAAAAAAAGTGAGATAAATATGCAAAGACTAATCTCTTTTGAAAATGATGGTTATAATTTCTCAATATAAAAAGGAGATATTGTGGAAACGTTCTATTAATTTACCATTTAGAAAGTAATAGAAGGAAAAACAAAGGAACAGGAAATTCCATTGCCCAGAAACTTACCTCCAGCAAAAGGAGGCATCAGGGAAAATTTTATTCGCTTACCGTAGAAAAAGAGCAAAAGAGGTGACGATGAAATGGGTAAGAAATTCACTTAAACTTTGTAAAGAATAGAAAAGGTGAACTGGAACTTTCAAAGAAATGGGACAGTTGGCTTTAGTCAATTATTCACATAGTGGCAGAAAGCAGGAAAAGCGAAGCATTTTTGGTGATCGAGGAAAAGCGAAGCATTGGCTAAGCAAATGTAGGAAAAAGCAAAAAGCAAATAGGAAACATCACAGAAACATAATTGCATTGGCTAAGCAGAAATCCATACGCGCTTATACCTACAGTGGTGTCTAGGGTCGATAAAAACAGGGCTGCATTTCAATTCCTCCTCATCTGCGCTCAGTTTTCTCACAAACACCATCTCTGTTTGTCTCTCAGGATTCTCTTGCGTTTGCTATCTTTCTGTGTGGCTAAGCATTTTGGGATCAGAGCTGGTAAGTGATTACGTTTTATTTGCAGATTCGTCGTCAACATTTCATCCTATTTTTAGTCCAGTTGCTGCTACTATCTTTGCTCTCTCAACACCATTCCCCCTTTTTTTGCAGAGTTTAATTGTGCTGGCCGGCTCAAAAAGGGGAATTTTGAAGAGAAATGACAGTTGGCATTAACCCTTGATTTCACTAGTATCTGCTATGCATCTTCCAAGAAATATCCTCTTGACTCTCTCATTGATTTGCCCACTTTATATTCTCTCTTATCCATGGCCGGCTCAACTCTTCTAATCAGAAAGAAAGTTCAGGCTCTGCAATCGCGCAATTAAGCTACTTCTAATTTTTGCTTGGCCCTAGTGTCTCAACTTCCTTTAATTTCT